TCTAATTCTCCCCCGTCAAAGTGTCCTGACGATCATAGACACATCTGTGACTGAGTTTTTCTTCAACCCAGAAACTTAACCTTGACAGTGAGGTCCTGATTAAATGAAAGCCAGCATCAAACCTTTTATTTCAAAACAATTCATTAATGTTTAAACATGTTTCTGAGAAAAAAAACGCAAGATTTTGGAGGAGTTGGAGTCAGGCATTTAGACATACTACACCACAGAAACCACACATGGCAAATCATGTTGATGGTGTCAGTTCTGGTTGTCCTGGATCTATTGTGAGATTATGAAATGTTAATGGCTAAGTGTCTCAGAAATATAACACTTCTTCTGATTCAGTCCCACACAGCTGCCTTGGTCCCCAGCACTTTATACATGCTTTATACATGTGCAAGCAATATTTTTATTAAAGAGGAGACAGAAATACTTTTGCTTGGCATAGAGGCCGAAATAGATACTTTATAGATCAATCTTGGTTCTGGTTTTTCAAATTGAAAATATTATTTCATTATTTCCTTAATACCAAAGAGCCACTGTAATTCATGCCTTCATCCCAACCACCACCATTATGCATTTTCCTCCCTTCTTTCTAACACCTCTATTTAGACAATATAATACATTTATTTACAACAAGCTTGCAACAGCAGGTATGCTTTGTAATAGTTGTGATGTTGCTCAAATACAATTATTATCATGAATCTATGAATGTATCTAAAAAGTCTCAACATTTTTGTACCAATATGTCAATACACCGACAACAATTGAATGTGTTTTTTGCCAAAATATCTAATCCTGCAATCTTGTAGTGACCGCAGTATTATTAAACTTTTTTATGGTTATGTTTGGGCACTGGCAGCATTTGGATATGAGGATTTGATACAAGTCTGCAGTGTCTTGAAGCACAACAGGTTTATTACATTTAACTGAAACCCCAATCTTTCTCTTAACCAAAGTGCTTTAGTTGCTTAAATCCGAAACCAAAAACAGGACTCAGGATGCCAACTCTGGACTCTTGTGTCAAAGTCCTGCTCATTGGAGAGCATGTGTAGCATGTAGAGTTCTTCTTCTGGCAATCTGATTTTAAATTCGGTATTCAGTCTTCTTTTAGCTCGTTTCTGATCTCCACTGACTGCTGAGGGAAATATCTGGCTACTAGCTGCTAAACGCTTCATTATGATCACACGGTAGTAAAGGTGACGTTTTCACTGAAAACCTTGGGCTGGGGCTGGAAAGGCGAGTGAACCAGAGTGAACCAAAACATTAAACTATTCGGGCCGTGAAACCAAAACAATGAGCTGAAAGACACTAAAAATCTCCATAGAGCTGAGAGGGAATCAAAAAAGCCCGGTAACTTTTCTCTGTGGGTTTGGACCCTTTCACATTGACATATAGGTCTGGGTGATATGAGAACATCAAATATATTTTTGAGCAAATACCACGATATTGATATTGCATCGATATTGTAGGGTTGACTGTTGGTGCTTTTACAAAATAGTAACACAATGAGGTTTTTGATAAATGATTATCAGTAATGTAGATATAATGACTAAGTGTGTAAAGGAAAATAATAGAACAGCTAGAACAGTTTGGTGAATTTAGAAAATCGCTTTACTGTAATGCAGCCTTTAAAACCAGGAAAAGACACTATTATATTACAATATCCAAACTGCAGGACAAATTTAGTCTCATATCACAATCTCGATATATCATACATTGCTCAGCCCTACTTTGACATTTGATCCATTGTTAAAACATTGATTAGAGCAGGTCAAAGTCTTCTAGTTCATTTAGTTTCTTCTCTGTAAAGAACTACTTCTTCTTTGTATCAAGAGTGCTATGAGATCCCCCCCCCTCCCAACAATAACCATTATTATCATCATGTGAGTGCATACACAACACTGCTTTTGTTTTTTATAAGCCTTACCTATTTGTTTGTATACCCGATGGACCTATCTCGACTCAAGGGGTAATAATATTGAATTAAAAGGTGAATCTCTAATTAGGCCTAATCTTAGCCAAACCCCACATTTGTCTCCACAGTAATCCATGCAAACACCTCTCAAATTAATGGCACACAGTCTCCAACACAAATAACCTGTCAGTGGAGTAAACAGCACCCCACAGTGAAAGTGGCTCAACGGCTGATTTAAACAGTGTCTCCTCTATCCTTTACGTCTTCTTACCCTGGAGGCTCTCGTAACCAACCAACCCCTGCTCTGCTGCTGCCTTCTTCTGCATCCAAAGCAGTCTAGCCAAGCATGAGATGGTTGTATAAATGTTATCTCATGGACTGGTGACCTTTTAGGGGCATCATGCCAGGCAAACACTGTGGCTGAAAGCCCTGAATGGATCTGTGATGACCCATGTGTCCCCCACCCCAACCGGTCGTCACACTTGGATGAGTGCGCAGAAAGACCTTCTCATTCCAGGCCCCTAATGGCCGCCTCTGGACAGCCTGAAGCAGGAGGTCACAGAGATGCTGCGGAAAAAAAGTCAAAGCAAGCTGTAGCAATTTACTGTAGCTGGGATTTTTAGGAATAGATTTCCAAATGTCAGTTTTCCACACTGCACAGTGTGTGTCACTACGAAGCCAGAAATCAATCCAGAGAGAGAAAATGAGAAATCCAGGGGGCTGCAGCAAAACAAATAATGTAATGTTACACATATGGTGACATGATTTTAAATTTCATGTCAGTATGCTGTGGTAGAGTTGTATTGTAAGGCATAAATAGTGAGTTGAATTACCAGATGTAGAGCATTTATAGTGTTAGTAGTAACTTATTTCTATTCCACAGCTTAGTGTCACAGCTGAATAGCAAGAGTAAAGAAATCAAAGATGAAATAGAACTGTATTCAGGAGAGAAATAAACATGGGCTGGTTAAAAAAAAAGGGCTTATATTGTCTAAAATGACTAGACCTATGTTATATATTTTATTGAGTTGTGTTAGTACACTATCCCAAATGATAAACCTGCTGACATTTCATATTTTTTTTATTGTACCATGGAAATACAGAAATCAATGATGAATTGTCCCAATCAATAGTACTGACAGAGTAGTTAAGCCGGATATGTTATTTCTCCAAACCAGAGAATCAGTGTTGTCCAAAAGCTATTAAAAACACATCGTTTAGCCACCGCTGTTGCAATGAGTGACATGTTTCCTCTTTTAGGTGAACATGGGCACTGAAGTTTATTATGAGTCAATACACCATATTTCTGCTTTAAATACTCACTAGCTCACCAAATGTGTATTCATTTACAGCTGAAAATAGTTCCTAACAAATGTACTATTAACTCTAGTTTGAGCAACATTTGCTCAGAAATACAGTGCAAAGCTGTTTTAATAAATTACAGAGTTGTAAAAATAAAACTACATATTTGTGATCTGTTTTTAAAGTTTCATGTTTTCTGTAAAAAACGAATGGGCTTGTGGCTCGGCAGCAGAGACAGCAAAGAGATTTGTTGACAACTAACCAATACAGCCCAGTCACCCTAGAAATGTTGGCATTGTACGTTTCTGCAAACCACAAATACGTTAAATGTAGACGTTTTAGCATTTAGTCAGAGCAAGTGATGTAGTATATTGAGGAAGCACTCTACAAAAGTCCACTATTAATGGGTGGGATGGATATTGGATGGGTCAAACAAACACAGGACTTTCACCCAGGAGAAAGCTGTTGTTCTGAAGAGCAATAAAGTTGTTAACACTGTCAGAGGCTTAATAACCGTCACTGCAGACATGCTAATGAGGACACCATGCTCCTCCCAGCAACACATTGTTCTGGCTGCTACCCCAACTCAGCTTTCTCATGTTCTGTTTGTTATTGCCATACCACTCTATGCCTTCTATGCATTTCATGTGACAGGAGTCTGTTGGGTATTGTTCTGTATAGCCGAGGGAGACTTATTGAGTTCCTATTGAGTCCTCTTCTGCTGCTGTATTTGATTGTGGATCAAGTACTAATTTCCCTATAGTAAAATGTATGCAATAAATGATACAAGTGTGTGATGTCAATTTTTGCACTCTTTTTGAGTGTACAAAAAAAGACAAAGAACATGGTAAAACTATAAATTCACAAGTCACATTCTGCAGTTCCACAATTTATAAATAACATTCCTCTCCGTCTCCCACTAGATGTGTTGTTATGAGATCATCTGAAATGAGACATCATGTAAGGTTTTTGCACAAAATAAAGGGCTGGACCCAAATGCAGGGAGACACGGGAAACGGAGGGTTGGATAATTGTGGGTTTAATTGTAACAAAAAAGTATTCAACACAAAAAGGTGTGAATCACAAGTCCATGAAAATAAAACATCCAAAGAAACAGGGAACACGACAAAGGGGAGCAGACACGAAACATACCAGTAGGAAATGGCAGACAGACGGACCAGGTTACACCATAGACAAATGAACACTGAGCCAAGGGAGACACAGAGTTTAAATACACAGGGAAGGTGCAGGTGATTAGACAGAACAGGTTTCAATTTAGGGTGGGGCAGACGATCACGAGAGGAACAGACAGGGGCAGAAAGTGAAGTGAAGCAGACTGAGGAGGTGCAGGTGATTGAAAGCATCAGTGTCTAATTAGGGGAAGGGCAGACCCTCACAGGGGCAAGACAGACAAAGGCAGGAAATAAAGTGCAAGACACATGGAACATCTCAATAAAACAGAATAAATAACTAAATCAAAACATAAATTGTGACAGAACCCCCCCTCTCAAGGGACGGATTCTAGACGTCCCAACAGATACAAAAGTCCAATAGGGTGGGTGGAGGGTGTCTGGAGGAGGGGTGTCTGGAAGGGCTCCGAGGGACGGTCAGGGGAATGGCCGGACGGCCAGGAGGGCTCCGGGGGACGGCCGGATGGCAGGAGTTTCTCAGGACACGGGATCTCAGACTGGGGCTCGGATGAACAGGGCTGGGGAGACTGGGGCTCGGAGAAACAGGGCTGGGGAGAC